TATTATTTGTGTGTGCCATTAATGAAATTATTAGTAACAATATATTAACGTGCATTTTGATTGAATGCACGCGTAATAATTTTCTCAGCAAATTTTATTTCACTATAAGTCTAATATAGTTCAGATATAATTTAATATCTAGGTGATAATAATAATCAGTCTTTTTCTTGTGTGCCTGCAACTGTTTTACGAAAGGATTATCGATAACTTGCATTAATAATATCAAAAATGTTTTGTAGAGCTGCAAATCGAATGCGAGGAAAAAAATTATGAATTAAATATTAAATTCAATGTTAATGAAATCATATGGGTATTTTTAATAAATTTTTGAAAGTGTGATTTTAAAACGTGTTTATCTGGGAAGCTGTTTTTTAATTCCAAGTTGAATAAATAAACGTAGGTTGAAACAGATATGTGAATAAATATGTAAAAAAATTTGTCAAAAATTTTGTAAACATTTGTAAACATGTAAATAAACAACAAATTTTGAAGAAAAAAATTTAGCCACATTTATATTTGACATTTTGTTCAGAATTATGAGATGCGTAAATAAATTCCATTTTGTATTGAGTGTATTTTTATGTAGGTTGTTAACAGCTCATTGGCCATGTGTTCATAAAATTTCGGTTCTACTTTACTTATTGATTACAAATAAATACTTTTCAATATTTTCATTTTTTTTAAAGAACATTTTTAATTAACGAACCGTGAAAATATTGTAAAAAATGTAACATTTGCATAAATAATAAAATATAATAAAATAAATAATAAAATAATTATTATATATATATATATATATATATACTTATAATTTTAATATTATAATACTTTATGATATTTTTATTTATTTAGTTTTATCATTATTCTAAAACTTAATAATTGTAAAATACAAGCAATCTTGTATTATTTATTAAATTCATAGTATGATAATTTCAAGATTAAAGCAGCATATAAATTTTAAATCAATCTTGTTTCTTTTTTTTTCTCGATTATCTGTAAGACATCGAAGATCTTTCAATTTGCGCTTGATAAGAAATAGGAGATTCACCCAGCTTAACTCGCAATCAGCTTAAGATCTTAAATTTAGCTTCAGATGTCATCGAAAAAAAATACTAGAACGCAAAAAATATATTAAAACCATTCTATCCTTTTTATTGCTGAAGGCTGCAGCGAGGTGGAAAATTTTTCACTTTGCATAACAACCCCCCGTACACGTACAACTTTTATTCGAGAAAGAGTCATGTAACTTCTATATGTATTTTCATCTTTTCTCTCTCTCTCTTTTTCGAACATATAAAAATTGATTTTTTCCCTGGCACCACATGGCTGAATTATTAATCCTAATCACGGCCTTTTGTATATATTTACTTTCGCGTTGCACAACTTTCGGACACGTATCGTAATAGATATTTCAATTACGTTCCCCAAATGCGAGAAAGATTATGGTAGCGGGCATGAATACATAATATCCCTGGTATTTTCTTCGCGATCTCTCGAAACGAGAGAGGAAGATGCGAGAAAAAGACGCGTGTGTGTCGAGAGATGCCAAGAGGCGAAGAGAGAGATATATCCTCGGGAGAGTATCCCCCTGAGGGATATACCTTACTCTCCTTCTTTCGGGTTTCCCATTCGTCTTACATAAGACGCGGGCGCGCTCCGTCTGACACACAAGTCCCGTGTGCTGCTTTCGCCTTATCGCTCTCTCTTCATTCTCTCGCTACGACATCATAGGAAATTGCGGACAAGTTTCCCCCGAGGCGCGGTCGCCTCGCGGAAATTTAACCAATTAGATCGACGGAGAACTTTCCTGCCGTCAGCGACTTAACTCGAGCCCCGACTCTCGACTTACGTACATGCGTGTCTATTCGGCTGCGAATAACGCGACACACACGTGTATATACCTACAGTAACCTTCACAAGTTTGGGAATACTTTATATTTTATAGTTAAATAATTGCATGGCGATCTGTCAGAAAGAAAAATGTCATTTAAATATTTTACGATTTATTCGTACAAAAAATCTGCACAGATCTGTCAAAAAAATCCTCTTTATTTAAGAGAAAAATTCTCTAAAGAAATATTCTTTAATTAAATATTTGTGACATGCAAGAATATATACTTAAGGGGGTGTGTTGCCCTTTACAAGTTTGGAAACATCTTACAGTAAAAAAATTGCATGACAACGATCTGTCATAAATAAAAATGTCATTTAAATATTTTACGATTTATTTATACAAAAAATCTGCACAGATCTGTCAAAAAAATCCTCTTTATTTAAGAGAAAAATTCTCTAAAGAAATATTCTTTAATTAGATATTTGTGACATGCAAGAATATATACTTAATGGGATGTGTTGCTTTTTACAAGTTTGGAAACATCTTACAGTAAAAAAATTGCATGACAGCGATCTGTCATAAATAAAAATGTCATTTAAGTATTTTACGATTTATTCATACAAAAAATCTGCACAGATCTGTCAAAAGAATTCTCTTTATTTAAGAGAAAAATTCTCTAAAGAAATATTCTTTAATTAGATATTTGTGACATGCAAGAATATATACTTAATGGGATGTGTTGCTTTTTACAAGTTTGGAAACATCTTACAGTAAAAAAATTGCATGACAGCGATCTGTCATAAATAAAAATGTCATTTAAGTATTTTACGATTTATTCATACAAAAAATCTGCACAGATCTGTCAAAAGAATTCTCTTTATTTAAGAGAAAAATTCTCTAAAGAAATATTCTTTAATTAGATATTTGTGACATGCAAGAATATATACTTAATGGGATGTGTTGCTCTTTACAAGTTTGGAAACATCTTACAGTAAAAAAATTGCATGACAGCGATCTGGCATAAATAAAAATGTCATTTAAATATTTTACGATTTATTCATACAAAAAATCTGCACAGATCTGTCAAAAGAGTCCTCTTCATTTAAGAGAAAAATTTTTTAAAGAAATATTTTTTAATTAGATATTTGTAACATGCAAGAATATATACTCAATGGAATATTTTTTATCAGTATATTATTTAAAATATTATTAGTCATGATGACAAAAAACAGTCTTATAAATTAACATTTGTTATTTATTGCAGTACCTTTCACAAACAGCGATCTGTGCAGATTTTTTGTATGGATAAATCGTAAAATAATTAAATGACATTTTTATTTATGACAGATCGCTGCCATGCGATTGTTTAACTGTAAAATAATCTAAGATGTTTCCAAACTTGTGGAAGGTACTGTATGTGTGTCAATTTCTACGAAGGGATGCCGAAGTCGAAGCCTGGCATCCCACGCACGGACACGTTTGTTCTACGCCCATCCGAAACCCTTTGGAATACTAATGAGATCCCTTCCATATATACTGATAAAGTCGCGCGCGGTAACAGGTGAAGATTCGATCCCGTGTTTCTCTTTAACGATTCTCTCCCTATAATTCTCGAATTGCGACGGCACATCTCTACCTGCCGAAAGTTTCGGCCAACTTCGCGACCTATGACTGCTGAAAAAGTTGCGGACAGAGAGAAGATCGAAGTCTCTCTGAGACTGACTCTGACTTGATGAGTTCGCGGAACCTGAGAAAACTCGAAATCTTTTACGCGCTGCTCCACCAGACACTTCATCGTAAGAATATTTTATCATAATTCTAATAAGAGTTTGTTTATTATCTTTAATAAATATTATCAAAAATTTTATGTATTATCTTATATATTAATTTATTTATGTATAAATATTCTATAAATATATATATATATATATATTTATTTATTTATAGATAAAAAATATATAAATAAATTAATATATAAAATAATACATAAAATTTTTGAAAATATTTATTATATATTTTTTGATGTATTAATATATCGAAAATATATGTATATAAAAAAATAAGATATATTAATTATATAATATATATTATTATATATATTCTCTCTCTATATAATTAATATATCTATTATTCATAATAAAGATGATAAAAATAATTTTTTTAACTCCCAAAATTGCCATCTTTTCGTAGATATTAATTTATACCATTTCTCGTTGTTGTAAGCTCAGTCATTTGCTATTCTATTTGCGCAGAAAAACCATGGATTTTATATAACAAATTCTACCGTACAATTGATCGCTGATGGCTTTTTTGCGGGAATATAACAAAAGATTGGACAATTTCGCGCGAATGACCGAACTAATTGACAGTCCAAGAGCGAACTATGCATAGTGACAGGTTCGTTTTTTGTACAGTGGCAATCCGTGATATCAACGGTTGCTCGTAAAACCATAAGTCACGACGAAAAATGTCGGTAGAAATAAAAAAAAAAAAAAAAAAAAAAAAAAAAACACATCGCCTGTTAATAAATCGCAAAAATATTTTCGAAGCTTGAAAACTATAGTTTCAACGAGGAAGAGAAGAATGACAGATTTTCGTTTTTAAAACTTCATAAGATGTTTCGTGAACAATTTTTAATTATTTATGTACTTAACAGATGCTTGACTATTTATTGAGTATTTATTTAGCTATAGATTATCAAAAAGTGCCATTTCAGATAACAGAAGTATTTTAAGCCATGATAATTATATCCAGGGTTGGACAGATATGTATCTAAAAGTATCTGAGATACGTATTTAAATGTGTCTTATTTAAATACCGAATAATCAAGTATTTCGAATTTGATAATGTTATTATACGTATATAATATAATATATACTATTATATGTTTATTTTAATTATTATTATTTTATAAAGTTTAAAGTTCAAATAAATAAACTTATTTTTGTAATTACTTCAATATTAAGTATATAGTACATAATCAGAAAATTAAAAAAATAATTGTATTTATAAATGTATTTAAATACAATTAGTATTTAAATATGTTTCAAACAGTATCTCGTCTCTTGTATTTAAATATTTTGTTTGGAAATATCTGCCCAACCCTGATTGTATCTCGTGCATAATAAATAAATTCGAAAAAATTGATATATAAATTGGTACTCACCGATTCTAATGACCGGCGGCAGCGACATGGCAGTAGTGATCGAAATAACGATTAGGGCGAACAACAGTGCCATCGTGTCCGACGTGAAGACAGTTCGCACTTCGGACGGCTATGACATCGTTCGTGCGGATTTCCCGTAAGATAAAGCGCAATAAAGGAAAGAAAAGGAAATCATAGATATATATATATAGATATATATATATATATATACGCGAGGCTGCTCCTCTCTCACCGACACTTTAACACAGAACTGCACATCCTCAAAGACTCGTCGCACGTCGGAGAGGATTCTTAGATGACCATCATCTTCTTTCCCGTGCACAATCTGAAAAGAAGGACAGAAAAAACTTGCAATAATATATAAGCGCTCGAATAAAAATCACGAGTTTCACAAAAGATGATATTTATTTTAACAGATAAAATATATATATAAAGTATTCTATTTAAAAAGAGGTACAATTAGAGGTATAATAAAAAAATAGAGGTATACAATTTATTTATTAAATCGAATTGAAATTTAAATAATTAAATATTAGTAAGATGCATTTTTATTTTGGTTTTTCTATATTTCTAGTATTTAAAATAGTATTTAAAAAATTAATTCGCCTGAGAATTTAAAATGTTTTAAAAAAAAATATATATATATATAAAGAAGTCGAAAATTATAAACTGTCACAATATGCACTTGTAGATATGCGCGATAGAGGAATACGATTTTTGTAATGTTGTATTTTCTCTCTCCTGGATAAATAAAATTTTTGTAATATTTCTTCTGTTTTCTCGCCCACGCCTGCACAGAGATATTGCAACATCGCTCATACTTATTCATTAATATACCCTTCTGGTTTAACGAACATTTACTGGAGAACGCAATGCAGACGTTAAATTATCGACTTCATAAATCCAGAATCTAAATCAGGCAATGTACAATCTGCCGAAGGCTTTTCTTTAAAAATTTCATTGCTTAAATAGCACGAGTCTACAAGTACATTTCTCAGAAATAACAACATTAATAAGTTGCTATACACATCATTTCTATTTAAAAAGAGGTACAATTAGAGGTATAATAAAAAAATAGAGGCATACAATTTATTTATTAAATCGAATTGAAATTTAAATAATTGAATATTGATAAGATGCATTTTTATTTTGCTTTCTCTATATTTCTAGTTTTTAAAATAGTATTTAAAAAATTAATTCGCCTGAAAATTTAAAATGTTTCAAAAATATATAAAAAATGATAGTAGATACCTAGTAGAATAAAAAAAAAAAAAAGAAGAGGGACAGACAACTTTGTTTTTTTTTTAATAATGTCACACCTACATTCTTAAAATGACAGTTTAGAGAGACAAGATTGAGAAACCCTGCTCTAGACTTTTTAACATAGTCGGCAGTGCATCAACACTGTTGGAACCAGAGGGTCCAGTTTACATTTATTTGCGCCAGACCTCGAAGAGGTCGAGATAAAGGGGCATCCTCGGTACGGTTCACTCTCCGGGACAAAATCGCGTTTCCACTCCCGGAGGTGCATTTTCCATAGGGGAGATGGAAAAAAGGGAGCTCGGCCTTTAACCTTCCCGGTAGATACGACCTTCCGTCGTTACGTCGTCGAAGATACCACGAGAGATACCCAGTGTCGCGCGAAATTTTCGATGACTTCGATTGCCCTCTCCAGATACGCGACAGACAGAATTTCGTACTTAAAAACTCTGTTACGATAGAGAGAGAGACGGAGAAAAATTTAGTTGTAGAATCGGAACAAATTTTCCCGACGGGAGAAAAATTCCCGGGAACCTTCAACAACATTTCGCGGATGCGAAGCTACGGAGGAATATCGCGAAGAAGGAATGTCGTTGAGAGAAACGAAATACAGTCATAATTTCTTTCTCGTAAAATAACATAATATTTTGTGGGCGATTATTTCTACTGATACGTCTTTCAGATTTTTTTTTTTTTTTTTTTTTTTTTTTTTATTAATAGATCGTCACGGTGCTAAAACGTGAAGTTAGATTTGATCTTTTTATTGGGGCTATGTAGATTAAAAAATTCTTTTTCACAATTAAAGTACCAATAATAATGAACGCTATAATTTTATGAAAGTAAAAAGATGAAAAATAATTTTTTTAATGGCCGATATAAAAGTAATTTTTTAACTTTTTTTACCTAAAATTATATAGCTTTCCTCGTTCGTTAATATTAATACTTTAATTGTGGAAAAGGATTTATCAATCTGTACAGTTAATCAAAAATATATTGGTATACTTATGAGTTAAAGTATGAATCTTTTTATTTGCTATACAGATTGATAAATTCTTTTCCACAATTAAAGTATTATATATAAAATATTATATATAAAAGGTTAAAATTTAAATAGTTGAATATTAATAAGATGCATTTTTATTTTGCTTTCTCTATATTTCTAGTTTTTGAAACAGTATTTAAAAAATTGATTCGCCTGAAAATTTAAAATGTTTCAAAAATATATAAAAACTTTCAAAAACACATTTAAAGTATTATATATAAAAGGATTTTTCAATTTATAAAACCAATAAAAAGATTCACAGGGTGTCCAGCAGAAATCCTCAATAAAAAAATTCCCTGACCTTTTAGTATTATTTTTTCCAAATATATAATTTGTACATATCTATATGATAAATCAATTAACTGTTAAATCGTGAAATCCTTGAGATATTTTTGTCAACAATGAAAAGGTTCGGAAGTTAAAACCAAAATTTTAATCAATTATACAATCTGCATTATGTACAATAATCGAAACAAACATGTCGCTATAAACTATTTAAATAATCACTTTTTTTATTTATATTAAATTTTGTTTTTAATATATTTTAACAAATTATAATACATATATTATAATATATTAAATGGTGTGCAATATGACCACAAAACTTTTAAATAAAACATTTTTAATAAAATTAATGTATTAATTGTTAATAAAAAAATGAATTAAAATAAAGTTTTTGAACAATATTATAATTCGTGAGCAATGTTACAATATATTTTAAAATATATAATACATTGAAATAAAATAACAAAGGGATGAAAATATAAATTAACAAATACGCTGTATAGATGAATCAATTTTTAACAACACAGAAAAAATAGCATACTGCATTTAATAAAAACATTTCAAATATTGAGACAGATGTAGAATAATGTGAAAAAATCCAGATAAATAGTAAAATTTCCTGATTTTTCCTTCACAATTCCAGATTTATCAAATTCCCTGACAATGCCCGATCTTCTAGATTTCTCTGACTGATAAAAGCTTTAAGATCAGCTTATTATAAAGTACCCAATTCGCGCTTTCTGCGATATCACATGCATCTGTTTAAATATTTCATTAAACAATCTGTTAATACGGTCGCGATCTCGCTTATAAATGCCTTTTAATGTGCCTGGAATTATTTATGATCCATGCAATTACCCTACTTCAGCCTAATAATATCGATACGTTAATTTACTACGATTATATACATAGCATCGGCAAGTTATTGCGCTGTTCCATATTTGATTATTATTATTATAAACACATGGATACGAGATTCAATTACATACAATTGTTATCCGCCAATGTGCCTCATGTAACCATACTGTTACATCACGCGAATTCAAATAACGTGGAAATTCGATTGCGATATCTGCATTCGCCCTATCGCGCATCCAAATGGCTGCAGTTAATTGACTATGCTCGACTATAAATTATGATAGATATCAATTGTCGTTAATCGAAACTCTTGATAGCCCGAGGGCTACGAATCCTTCCTCCGTGTGACCTCATATATATAGTATATCGTTACAATTGCGCAAGAGATAAATCGGATCGAAAAGCCGAATTCGGCGCTAATATTTGACGTTCGAAAAAACTGGACGAAAACGAAATAAACCGGCTGCTCTATTTATCGAACGCGAAGGTCGGTGGTTCTCGGCTGATGTTTTGGCGGTGTCGATGCTGCATGCGACTCACGCTTTCGCCATTAGAGTTAGCGTAAACGGATTTCAACTAACCCAATTTAGCCTACGGGGGTGGCTCTGCTTCCCTCTCTTTCGCTCTTTTGCGTGTTTGTTTGCGTCGTTCTAAGCGCGTCGCTCAATTACATAGGAGTGTCCGCTGCGTGCAAAACGGGGTGGTTTTCTTCCTTCCTTTTTTTTTTTTTTTTGACTATTTATTCCTCGCTTCAGCCTTGACTCCTTACGGCACTCACTCTCGTTTCCCTCTTTATAATCCTCTTTGGTGACTCGGAGCAGATTTTAGCAAAACCACGGTGTACACACGCGGTCGCTTTGTTTAAAAATTTATCCAACGCGCGGAATATATCTCGAAATTATGCGCATTCTTTCGCAAACATTGCGCTGAAACTCGCACAATGAAGGGCCATTATGAGGAATTACAAGCGGCGCGAGATATTTCCGCGGATATAAATTATATTTTTTTAAAATCTGAAGCGCCTGTTTTTTGGATATAATTATTGCCTGGAGGAAACGGTTTATTTCGCCAATTAAAAACTGCTTATAATAAAACAAATGTAATAGAATTATAATAAAAATAAAATAAACAAATAAATATAAAATAAAAATACAATAAAATTAATTAGTTAATATAACGATATCATGCTGCGAATTTAGACAAATGTTTAATTTTATTACAAATGTATATATATTGTATTATTATTTTGCCAATTAAAAATTGCTCGTAAAAAAATATAATAAAAATAGAATAATATATATTAACTAATTAATTTTATTGTATTTTTATTTTATATTTATTTGTTTATTTTATTTGTATTATATTTTTTTACGAGCAATTTTTAATTAGCGAAATAATATAAGGGAATAATATAATTGACGATATAATATAAAATAATATATTCTTAATAATATATATATGATTATTTGCTGAAGGGTGTTTATTTATCGGTGACAGTTTAGAGAATTGCACGTTAGAGATAAAATGAGATATATACTCGTCCACGCTTCTTCTGCAGTGGATAACACTCCGAGTGCGTTTTATTGTCAATAAAAACCACGTCACTTCCCCTCTTCATAGGTTTTACGATCGAAAGAGATTAACTAGTAAAAAGGATAACGTCTGAGATCGTAAAAGAAAAAACGCTGGCAACTATATATGATTGTATGCAGAAGCTATATTTTTTTCCTTTACCACTTCTACAATCATTTACTTTTACGATCTTGTATGTCTATTGCACTGTCGCACGAATAACTTGAAAAATGCGTTTTATTTGATAATAAAATTATTGAAGATTATATTGTCATCGTTCCTTTAAACACTTTACGAGTGTCATTTCT